AGGCTACAAACATAAATACACATTATAAACACAAATCAAAGCAGAAAATCCATTTTAAGCTGGTGGAATAACATTTAATGAGCAGTTCACTGGTTATAGTGAAGGTAGGGACGTTTGTACACCATGATCATAACATATTCCCCTATTTATCTCACTCACAATGTTTATATTCACGTTATTATCCTGGTTTGGAGTCGTATCCTGCTTTGTAAGTCTCATTTGGGTTATGACGTGTGCTTAGGAAACCTGGTTATTCGTATCACCATGTACCTGATCGTAACTGCGGCCACATTTCTGATAATCTCTCTCAGCCACTTGTTTTTGCACAGCGATCAGAAACCGTAATCAGGTCTTTAAATGCCACAGTATGCTGGTTTCTATCAAAGTGCTCCAATTAGCATACCCAGGTTGTTTTAAACCCATGATAAATGAAATTTACATGTGCAAAAACATGACTGGGATACTCCAATAAAACAAACCATAAGTCATAGCTTAATGCTCTTTTATGTGGATTCTTCTCAACCTACAAATATCCACAAACCCCATTTTTTGGGAACACAAATGCAGCATGAGTGACTGGATTAAACCTCTGCATAAATCAGCATCAGATGGGGGGAAAACTCTACACCTGGTGGAAGCAAACGTGTGTTTCACTCTCCATACAGATTGTCTCGCCTGCGTTTGTGTTTGTGGAGCAGTGTACAAACTGCTCTGTGGTCTGGTAAAACCACGTTATGCCCATCCACGGGACCACATTCACAGCGGTCTGTCATTATAGCCCTGGCATATGGCGACGACGTTTAAGTATATGGTCATTTTCATTTCCTGCTACCGTCGGCGGACCGTCTAACTGTAATTTCAGCCACAGTTCGGATTGACACCGCGCTTTGCCGGCTGATTTCCGTCAGTATTCTGGTGGATTTGAGAGGCTGTTGGTGCGATCCGTCTCGTTGTTCCAGAAAATAAACAAATGATGCGGATTTAGACAAAAGCTTTTTGCACACAAAGCTGCAGTGAGGACTAATAACATTTTATTTGGTTTGACCATATGCTCCGCTGTCAAACAATTGCCATTAACGGCACAAAAACCTAATTTTTTTTTGGTGGGCATGTCAGAAGTGCCATATGTTTGTAGCGGGGGGGTTGCAGAACGGTATTAAATGGGTCGCCAGCACATCCAGACGATTGAACTGCAGCAAAACAACAAAAAGTAATATCTTTAACTAGCTGTACCTACTTTCTTTCCCATTCCCAATCATTGTCTTGTGTTTTAGGTTTGCCTTGAGAATGAGAACTATAATGAGGGTGGTTGTGTAAAGCCCCCCCCCTGTTCAGGCCTGGAGAAAGTTTGATGTTTCTCCGTATGATTCAATGCTTTTAAGGTGACTTTAAACCGTTGAAGGCATGATTTTTATTTTGTTATATATTCCTCTGGGAGTATTAATCTGACTTCAGACTGGGAACCTGTATCGGAGACATTTGAAGGCACGTTCCTTCCACTAATTTGTTTTATCACGCTGACATCGTTCGGTCACAGAATCAGATCTCACACAGACAATTTGTAATAAAGGGTTCAGACAACAACGCGTGCACATTTGTTTGAGTCTCTGTGGTTTGCTGCACTGGTGTAATGCAGGTTATCTGGTGTGAAAAGACTTCGGGGCAGGACTTCGTTTAGACTTTCCCACTGTATCATCAGTCAACAGCAGACGTCTGAAGTCGGCAGAGCTCTGAGGGAATCGACTCCTAACTCAAACGGTCTGCTTTTAATCTTAGGAAATAACTACTTAAGATGCCTTATTGGGAGGGAAAGAGGCTAAATCTTTAATTCCCCTGTCCCATGGCCTTCAGCCTGCAGTTAAAGGAGCCTTCAGTGTGTGCGATGGAAACTCTCTGGGATCGCAGTGCAGATATTTGCATGTGAGATTTTCTTTTTTTTAACGACGGGACGAGGCATGTCATCCTGAATTCCAGTCCAGAGGAGAATTTGGTTGTGAAATGTTCCTCTCTTCTCCCGTCTGTGATAACATCTGATCCTTTGTAGGCACTCGAGGCTGTTTCTTCTCTCCTCCACCGTCAGCGGCGAGTTGCAGAAGGCAGCAGGCCTCTCGTTACGTCAAGTCAACACAGGCTCCGGGTCTTCGATGCATTCTTTTACAGGCAATCGCTGGTTGTTGTTTTTTTTTGTGGTTTCGAGACGCAAACGTAAACAGACCAGCTGCTGCAGCATACCAGCCACCGAGCAATTAGTTTCTATGAAGAATCACAGATTTGAACCCAGTTCATATTTGATAATTGGACAAAATACATTTATTGTTTGAAGAGCAGACCGTTGTATTTGACTTTCTGATTTTATGGGATTTTATTTATTTATTTAGCTTGTTGTTAGATGGATCTGTGAAGCGATCATTTGTTTTAATTGTGCTTTGAATTCAAATAAGTAACGAAAGGAAACAGAAAGCTTTTTAACATAGTTAGACAGACACTGCAGTGCAGAACTGAAGGGCTTGTGAGCAAATGCTGCTGACTTCTTACTTGATTTAAAGTTTAAAAAAAATCAGTATCGCTTTCTCAGAAATGATTTGCGTGTGGCTGAATGTGAGTGTTGTGTTTCCTCTACTTGCCTTTGAAAGGCTGCAGCTCTCAGGAATCAACAAAACGGCAAAAAGACATCTGAAAGTCTGCGTTTTAGACCTGCAAAGACGAGTGGGTCAGCAAAAAAATAAACTATTTACATAATCGATTAATCCTTGAAGTGATTTCTCAAGCAGAAACATCCCCTTGTTTTTCCTCTGCTATATGATTATAAACTGAATATCTTTGGGTTTCGGACTGACAACGGGACAAAAAAGCAGCCCTAATTCTTTTCCACCTTCTCCACGTTGAGCAGTTTCTAAGTGCTTGTCATACTGAAGCAATACATTTGGATAAACCCATTAAAAGGTTTTATCTGGACCCTAACAGCCTCTGGAGACAGGAAGTGAAAAAACAAGTGTCAGCTGACTGACGAGGCGCACAGACACAGAAAACTGCCCCGTCACTTTCAGCGAGCAGAGAAGAGAAGTAGTGGCCCAACGCAGCCCCCAGATATGATTACTCTGCAGACTGGTGTGGTTAACCTCCATCTGCACTTGTTTCATCCCTCCTTCGTCAGCCACTCAAGTGTTAAAACCTCGTGTTCAGCAAATACTTTCATACTTTTTCCATCACACAAAAAAAAGTTGATTAACTCCAGGCGTGTAGTCCACATAACTTGTTTTGTCTCTTCATGTTCTTGAGTTATTGATGGGGAGATGATATATATAAATCACCCTGCAGCAGCTGTATTAGTTGTTGGATTGGCGCCATGGCTTGCAGGTCCAGAAAGTGCAATATATTTATATATATAGTGAGATGATATCTGCCAAAAATATTAGACGGTAAGATTTGTGGTTTATGTTGCGTGTACTGGTCTGGAAACCGTCGGTTTTATTAAGTGTAAAGTCAAACGTCTTCACATTTGTTCTGTTGTTTTTCCACTCTCAGGTCCCAAATGATTCAACGGTGATCGCGTTTCTAAAAATAAAAGATGAGAAGGAGTGGGAGCCTTGTTTTGGATTAATGACATAAGACGTTTGTTAACATAGCGCCTGCCTTTCCTTCTAGGGGCCTGTTGCGGTGAATCGTGGGGGGGTTTGTCTAATTGTGTTCATCGGCCCTAAAAGAGGAAAAAGAGCAGATGCTTCTTCCCATTTGAACATATTGACCTTTCACCCTCGTAATATTCTTCGGACCTGCTCTAAACCAGCAGATCGTTCTTATAAACACTGAGATTCTCGAATGTTTTCCTGAATCTGAACGAATAAGGACGGTCTCTGGTCTTTGGGGTTCATATAACTCTCCTGTCACATGGGTGGTCTGTGGCCTCGGGGGGGGGGAAACCGGAAGAAAACTACTGAATGAAGGCACCCAGAATTTTTCTTTTTTTTGTAAAAAGAACACAGCAAAAGATTAGTACCATTCTAGGGGGCAGGGAGCATTTCACCCGCACACACACACACACACACACACACCACAACAACACACACACATCCTGGAAGACTTTAAGATTACTTGTGCCATCTTGTCTTTTGCACTTATATGTAACATGACTCTCAAATGCCACAAAACAGCTTGAATGTGGCAGGAAGTTGTCGCCGGGCTTCCTCCGTCTCGACGAGTCCAAAAAGAGACAGCAGGTCCTTAAACTAAGCGTCCTCCCGATAAGTGACTGCTGACGAGCCACTTGTTCTGTCGAATGAGTGAGTAAACCCAAGAGAATGATGATGATCTCTGTTCAGAACGTATATATAACCGGTTTAAACTGTGTGTGAGGAGCTCGAGCCAGCTGGAGAGTCGTACCTCACCAAACAAAGGCGCTTCACACCAAGTGGTGAAATTTTGCAACAGAGGTTCAATCCCTCACACTATCCGAGTCCTCTGCTTCATTTTTAAACACACCTGCACTTTGGTGTTTTCTGTTTCATGTTGCAACCACCAGGAGCTTTTGGTAGAACACAGCCAGGTTCCCCCTTTTTGGGAAATGTTATTTAAGCGCTTTCTTTTCTTGGGTTAGTTGGAAAAGACCCAATACTGGTACCTTTTGTTGTGCGGATTCCTCTAAAAACAACACTGAAACCATTACTGTGACAAATCCCACCGCCT